TGACTTTTCAGATCGTGCTAAGGAGCATAGCACAAAATACAAGGAAAAAAAAAAAAAGAAACGGAGAAAAAACGAAAATAGGAAGTCCTTACAAGTCATCCCTCTCCCTCACTGCTATCCTTAAGATAGAAATTGGAGCTTTTTGGTCGACAACACAATAGGACTACTTACACACTTGTTTTTCAGATGCTCTATTCTTTGTGCTTTCATTATTTCTCTTGGCAATGGGTCTCGACTCCTAACTATTACGGAACAATTTTCAAAATGTGCTACACAACCACAATCCGGAGAGTGGGTTCCGAAATGTCCAGCGGCGACTCGGTGGGTGTTATGAAAATGATCCTTTCAACAATCATTCAAACACCTGCCAGTCCGGTCTACATAACTAATGTGGTAAGAAGTATGTAGGCCAGACTGGCAGGTGTTTGAATGATCGTTTAAGGGAGCATTTTTATAACCAGCGAGTCGTCGCTGTACATTTGGGAATTTGCTGTCAAGATTGTGGTTGCGTAGCCCATTTTGAAAATTGTTTTATAATAGATAGATATGAATTAATAGATAGATTAATAGATAGATAGAAATAATGAAAGCGCAAAGTATATAGCATCTGAAAGACAAGTGTGTAAGTAGTCCTTCTATAGCACTGCTGACCAAAGAGCTTCAATATCTATCTAAACAATAGCGGTGAGGAAGAAGGATGATTTGTAAGGGTTTTCTTTTTTCGTTTTTTTCTTTTGTCTTGTGTTTCGCTTTTTTTCCTTGTATTTTGTGCTACCTCTGCTTATCACGTTCTGGAAAGTCAATCCAGACGTTGAAGTGAAGAATGAAGTAGTCGAATACACAAGAGCTATGCGTTTAGCGTGTGTGCTTGTCTTTCTGAGTATCTGGTGTGTGATTGTTTCCCTGCACTGTCACCGTAGGATATGCAAAAATGAATAATGACATTGGCATATTTGTCATGCCAAAGCCTGTCACACTTATTCCGAACTCTTATCTCCACGAGATCACAATACCATCGTTTCTGTTGTAGTGGCACTGCAGTCTCTATACTTGTTTTGCTTCGGTCTTTGTAAGGGGGACGCTCTAATCCGATTCTACTCAGCTATGGTGTACTAGATAGCACCATATTTGCAGAGCTAGTCTTTGGTTTTTGTAGTTCCATCGAAATATATTTCAGCCTTTAAGTTATTTATTAATTGGCATGTAAATTTACAAGCTTATCTAGATTGAAGGCAACAAATATTTTGCCAGCACTCAAGGTACGCGTTTGAAGTATACTGCGTTAACATAATTGACCCAACTTCTGATTTTTATTTGTCAATGCCTCTAGCGAATTGTGCATGCTAGGATTGCTTTTGCTTGTTTGTTTCACATAATTTACAGCACATTTTTCACCTTTCTACTCAGTGCAGCCCTCAGGTCCATGGCAGTCTGCAAAGGTTGTTGATGGGTAAGCTGGCTTATATATACAGCTGTGTAAGAGCAGCTTGTCCTGGGTGACAATTTTAAACGCATTTTTATGTTTTAGAAAGTAAAATTTGCATGGGCATACTTGCAACGTGAAACCTTACCAAGCCTGTTCTGAACTTTCCTCCTCTAAAGATTTCAATACAGTCGTTTATGCTGCACACACACTAGCTACTTCGGCCAGTTAGAGACTTGATCCATATGAAGGTAAACAGGTGAGTATCAACTGCTCAGTTCCGTCCGTGGTGACGTTCTCTCCTTATCAGACGACTTACCACACTTGGTTCGCAAGGCATTTGAAAAGGAGAGCAAGTCAGCTGTTGCATGATGCTCCCAGTACTGAGCAGTCGACGATTGCTTGTTCACCTTCGTATAGATCACCAGTGTACTTCAAGCTCGGCAAGTGTGACACTTATCTGATTCAGCCTAGCAGTCATCTGCTGAGCGGAATGTGTAGAGCTAGTTGACCTGTGTACAGACAGTGGCTGTGCGGTATAAAACAAACCCAATTGGAAACTTTAATGCAATATTGTGTAGTCCCATTGATGTTATGATTATAATTACACAACGTTTTATAGTGCAAAGAAAAAAAACGCGATGTAATCGTTTTTTTAGACTGCATGTGCGACCTCCAAGCTTGTGCTTGTACGTTCTGTGCGGTGAAACGCCCTGTATAAGCAAAATTAGAGAATCCTCGAGCTGTATGCTGCAAGGAGTGAATACAGTAGTCTGGCCGCATTCTCCCCTCTTCTGTATACTGTGCAAATGCAGACGGACACGCACTTTGGATGCTTAGCAGTTAAAGGCCCCACATAAAGCACACTGCTTAATAAGCATCAATTATTGTGAAGTGTCTGCGGATTTGGCTGTTCAGCAAAATGCGGGCCAAATCGTTGTGTCAAATCTTTACATCGCCCCAAGAAAAAGTCTCGTGTTCTCCTAGGCCAGGGGCCTATTTAGAAAAAAATATTGCAAAACAATGTAGCTAATAATGTATATGTGTGCTGATTATTGTTTTTTTTTTCTTCCAATTACAGCATGCACGGAGGGCATCTCCATGGAGAAGAGTGGGATTATGTAGAGAAGCTAAAGCTCCTCTCTATGGGTACAAAGCTGTCCGAAGTAATGTCAGAATGGAAAGAGCACCACCAAGTTCCGCCTGGTTCTGATCAGCCACAGAATGAACACAGAATTCAGAAGAATAGCAATATGAAGGACCTAGGCAGGTAGCCACACGTTTTGAGTTCGCAATGACACTTGAACATGATCATAAATATTCCTGCTTTGCTCGAGGTCGCCTAGTTTATACACCATATTGGTGATGTTTAGGACAGCAGGAATATTTTTTTTTCAGACTTAAACCTCATTGTTAATTGAACAAATGTGGCTGTCTGTGAAAGTCCTTTTTGTGTTTTTATTTTTTATTTGTGTTCATTATTTCATGTTTTTCTCGTGATTTAGTCCGTGTTTGTTACTTATGTGTTCATCATTTATTTATTTTTTCTTTTATTACGTTTTAGTTAAAGATATGATGCCCTCATCATTTTATAGTCTGGGAAATGGTGGTGACCTCGTCGTGTTCAAGGAGCAGTAATGAACTTTCCATCTTGTATTGCTTCCGGCAAACATGGAACAATGGTGTTTTTGTGTGTGTGTGTGTGTGTGTGTGTGTGTGTGTGTGTGCGATGTGTTGATCACAAGGGATGATTTCGGGACCGAACGGAAAAACAAGACCAGCTAGGAGCGACTGGGGGACTTTGAACATCGCACGGTGCAAGGAAGTACTTCAACGACGAGGCTAGCAAGCAAGCGCTTGTCAAAACTGATGTGTTCGACCGGAGAGTTTAATCAGGACTTGACCCTGTGATTAAGAATCAACGACTTTGGAACTTTCGTATAGTTTACAGCTTAAATGTGCCTTCCTTTTGTTTTATTTTAATAGGTGTCTGTGTGCTATTACATTTTTAGTTTATTTTACAGGTTGTCCGTGTGATATTACAATTTTTTTTCTTGAACGGCGGAAGTGCTTGTTTGGAGTTTTGGCGCTTTTATGTATAAAACTTTTTTTGCAAACCATATTCTCTGTGCTCCCTCGACAACCAATCCCGCCAAAGGGCTGTGATTTTCCGACGTCGAATGACATGTTTCCTCACTAGCGATCGCCTGCATTTTATCTTTGTATCATACATATTTGTCGAAATTACAAATTTCGAGCCAGGCCAATAAAGATTGGTCAGTGGCTTATTCTGTCGATGTATCTACGTAAACACACATTTGGAAGTGTGGGATAGCAGTAAAATGTATATTTCGTGGATATTCATAGAAATGCATTATATGATTCCTTGTCTGGACCGGAAAGTATGGTACCTGCCCGATGGCAATAATTTTAATGTGATGCTAGAAGGAGCATCACACGAAAATTGCTTTATATGGGGAGGGTACCCTATTTTCCAGGCCCAAACCAGGGATCATATAAAGCAGTCTATACATGGTATATGAGGAATTGGGCACATATGGCTATATCCATCTAGATAAGGTCTGATTATGCATATGTGGTCATATCTGCCCAATTCCTTATATATTCATATCTGTATTTTTATTAGAAGTCTAGATATGACATTTTTGTAAGGGATGGCCTGTAGCATCAGCTGCAGTACATCGGAAGGTGAAACAGCAGGTATGTCATTATTAAACTATTTCTATTATATTCCGGTGTTACCTGATACGGTTTCATATACGGTTAGACCCACTCCGATGAAGCTCTACGGCTTGGCCAGATGCGGTTCAACTTCCCCTTCGACCAATTACGCTTGGGTTTCCGGACTGGGCATCTCCGGTTCATTTTACGGTTTCTAGAATCCGGTTTGCTTAGGGGCCCATATGACGGTTTGAAATTCCGGATTCATTCCGGTTTATTTTTAAACCGTTTTTTTTTTGGTAGGGGTCTTAACGAATGGCACTAAGAGGTTAGGGCGGGGTGGTGTGGAGGTACAGCAGGTGTGGGATTTTAGGGAGCGGAAGTTAAACGTGGATGTCTATGGAGCGCTTCGTGAGCAGAAGCGAGAGAAGACATTCCTTCTGTTTCTCTGGGGGTCGGGGAGATTGCGTCCATCCTCCCGAACCCCCAGATTGCGTTTAGTGCATTTAGTTATATTTCGGACCGCGCTCTCTTGCCCTGTTTTGTGGGTTTAACTAATCCGCTTTGGATACTCGCGATAATGAAGCATTTCAACGCGGGACGTGCACACCTAATCAACTAAAATCTCAAAATTATAAGATCAAAGAACTTCCCAGAATACTTCTCGGGACTGTATGCGCTGTTATTGTCAAAAAGCAGGCTCTCTTGTAATAAAAAAAAATAAAATAAATACATCGCCAACATTGGGAAGAGTTGAAAAGCCTGCTAAACGCTCACTTCCAGGAGAAGCTGATTACTTCTGCTGGCTTCGAACTGGTTTGCAGAGTGCGCCAGCCAGTCCCCCAGAGGAGACCAGTGGCCTGACATACTTTTCTTCAACTCTGTCGCCACTCACCTGTGTTGGAACCGGTGATGATGACCGTCTTTCCAGACATGTCCACCGAAGACTTGCACTTTCCAACAGTCAACTTGGCATAGACCTTGACAAGCAGCATGACCAGAAGGAGTGACGACAGCAGCCCGAGAATCAGCCGCAGAGGCACCAAGTGCATTGCAAGGGACGACTCTCGAGTGGCCGGGTCTGTGCTCAAATCCAGCCGCCCTCCATGCTCTTCCAACTCATGCATTCTTCCTGTTGGCCGTTAGAACAAAAGCACATTTCTAAAAATTAATAATTTCAACCCGGAAAAAAAAAAGGCCAGCTTGCTATGCGGGAAGAAACTGGGAAAGAGAAAAGGAGATGACAGCGTGCGGGGACGCCAGAAGACCGAGCTTTGGTTGCTACATTGTTTAAACTTTGTGATAGCTATACACAAAATAAAAATAATTTATAAGCTGCAGTCATCTTAACTGTCCCTGCACTCATTGAAAAATGTAATTTTGATAATTTAGTGGTGCGAGTTATTATTTAAAAGTGTGTGAAAACGAAATGACTTCGCCCGCAAGCTCTCAACCACTCTCTTCAAAATCGGCCAACAAGAAGCGCAATGCGTGTCGTGCTCGTGACGTCAATGTCTCCTGCACGACCAAGGGTACTGTAGTTGCGAGCGTTGCCGCCTGGTGGCTTCGACGTGGGACAATCTCGCCTAGTAGTAGTATCCGAGGACTGTACGCCCTATGGCCTAAAACACCTCGCCCATAACGTCATTCGTGGCCATGTTGGTATTTTATGTGCCACGAGCGTTCGGTTCACCACATTAGTTTCACACCGCAGCTCGAGGGATCCAGTATGCACAAAAAACCGCAAGTAACCACGAATTGCTACACCTGCAAGCCATGGATATAAGGTATTCACTGGGTGCCATATTTGCGCGCGTTATTCACACCGGACCCGGAAGGGGGGGGGGGGGGGGGGGGGGAAGGGAAGGGGTGCAGTCGTATGGTTGGCTTGGCTAAGGTCCCCGCATCCTCAGATCAAACTCTTATCTAACATCTGCAGATAACGACGATCTTGATGCTGTAGAATAGACGTTGCAGAAGCTCTGTGGGAGCTTTAACATATCTAACGCAGTAAATTTGTTAGCGTTTTCCGCCTATTCCCATTCAGGACTAAGTACCTCCATGAGCGGGCCATACCGCCACAAAAAGGCGCTGTTCTTTAGAGGCCAAAGACGTGGCGGCATTCGAACGGAGCGTCACAGACCGCCATCAGGCGCAATCTTGAAATATATTAATTCGTCTTAAAATTAGTTTTCTTAACTTTCCTGCCGGCATCCAAAAAAAAAAAAAAAAAAAAAAAAAGTAGTCTAGAGTTTTTCGGCTGCCGGCACAACATACACCCCATTTAAACAAATGAATAGGCGTGAAACAAATTTCGCTTTCGTAGCTAAGACTGCAGCCAATGCTACACGCATGAGAGCTCGAGGTCGCTGCTTTGAAGCGTTCTTCCGCAGAACGAGCACTCGCGCTAGAAATGCACGCCTCAAAGTCAGGAGCGCGGACTAGCTCGCGCTTGTAGCTCTGGCCGCTGTCTCAGCTTAAAGGGACCGTAAAGGCAGTTTCGAAGTTTTATTCGACGATTGAAATGGATGTCAGGCACGTCTCAGATACTGTTGACCAAGTTCTGGCCCGAACAGAAGTTTGGGTGCCGCAACAACCGAGCAAACAGGCGCGGTAATAATAGCGCCGGGAACGATGCCTGAGACCCCGCCGAGGCGGCGGCAGAAAGGTGAACTAAAGTGCGCCGTCGAAGCGTGACGACAACGGGCTCCTCGTGTGGCGATTGGTTCAAACGATAGACGCGCTCTTGGTTTTGATTTCGGTGGTGAGATGCGATGAAATTTTTTTATTTGAACGTTGGATAATCTTTTGAAGTTGTAGTTGGGAATAATAGGTTTCATACCGTGTATAAAAGCATAATCTGAAGCGATCCCTCCGTTTGTCACCGGTTGAACGCATCCCGCACTGCTACCTCGGGCGCGTAACAAGCATCGAGCAACCATGGACAAAAAGAAAAAGAGGTACGAGCGCCGGGGGCGGCGGACTTTTGGTTTTGGTTTCGTGCGTCGTCTCGTGTTCGCTTTGCGAACTGGTGTCTTACCAATCATGCCGTGTTTATGTGCAGTTGTAGGTGGCGTGAAAGGTCGGCTAAAGACGTGCGGTCGATCGGGCGACGTTCGTTTGCATAAACTGCCGACCGATGCAGCAATGCGCAGCATTTGGTTGCGCGCCGTCGTCTTGCGTAGAGCTGTGGACAGCGGTGTCAGGATTTGTTCGCTGCATTTCTGACCAGAAGACTTTGAGCAGCACCTTCACCTCAGCCGGAGTCTGGGTAAAAACATGAAGTTCCCGCGTATGAGGAAAGACGCGGTTCCCTCACTTTCCTTGCGCAAGGAGCCCACACCAGAGCATCTCCCGTTCAGTCGACGTGAGGTCGCTGAACGGGAGCTGAAACTCGTTTGCGAGCGCGGCGTTGTCGTCCATTTCTTCCAGGTTTTCTTCACAGACCACACTGAGTGTGCACTAAATCCCACCGATGCCGACAGTGCTCCCTGACGTCACTTCTCTTTCCAGAGGCGAAAAAGGGAAGAAATCTGAACGTTTGTTTCGGTTTAACAAATTTATTTGCAGGTACAGAAAAAAGAGGCACAACGTTCTAGAAAAAATTGTGTGGCATGCCAGGATCCCAATGCTTCCGAAAACACCTTCTTAAAAAAAATTATATTGCCTTCATGGTCCCTTTAAGAATGAAGATATAATAGAAGCTTTCAGGCAACTCTGAAGGAACGCCGCCATAAATGACCTTCAGTTTTTGTTTTTCTCTTATTCCGTTCCCTTCACTTCATCATTGCCGAAGCAGGACAGGTTATTGCCCCTATAAGTGCTACTGTGTCCTCCTATCCAGCATAGGCCTTTGCGGAGGCTCGTAAACTCCCCCTTCAATGGATCGGCATCGCCGTAGGACAAGGGAAGTTCGGCAATGGCGGCTCAATCTGGCGCGTGTTTAAAGCCTATTTATTATAGACGCTTTAAGCATGTCTAGGGAAACACAGGAGACTCGCGAAAATACATAGCAATAGTCGACTGCGAAGATCTGCGAAAACACGCGTGACGACGGTGGCGATCCCGTCTTCTCATTCGCGACACCGTCAGCCGCATCGCGTACTTTGGCGGCGAGAGGAGGGGGGGGAAAGGCGCCGCCAAAAAACAGTGTTGGCGGCAACGCGTTACAAGTAACGGCGTTAACGGTAATGTGTTACTTTTTTCGATAACGTAATAACGTGCTCGTTACATTTTCAAAACGGTAACGGGTAACGTAATGCAGTTACTAATGTCGAGTAGCGTGTAATGTAGTTAGGTTACTCGTCACATATTCTAAGACTCAAAATAATTAACTTCAATTATTTTCGTGTTTTTAGGCGCCAAGCCATGTAAGGCTTAGTTGTTGTTTTTCGTTTTCCCCCCATTTTCTTGTGAGTATTTAGGTGTAATCGTAACAAAAAAAAAGTAAGGCATATTACGTTTACCACTTTCGACAGATATAAGGTTTCTTCAGATATGGCGCTTACGCATACCTGCAATGTCAAAATAGTAAAACGTGGTAATTCATAATTAAAACAGTAACGCAAAAGTAACACGTTTTTTATCGGTAACAGTAACGGTAAGGTGTTTCTTTTATTTTGAGGTAACGTAGATCGGTACGCGTTCTTTTCATTTGCAGGTAACGAGTAACGGTGTTTCGTTACTTTTTTGGGGGGGCTAACGCCTGCAACACTGCAAATAAACCACTTCACCAAGGGTGGTTTATGGCGTAGCCGTCGTTCCGTCTGATGCAAATAAAAAGATTGTCGTGTATTCGCGTAGTAAAGTGGCTGGTATAGCAACACATTAAAACAATAATAAAGACGAAACATGATGTATAGGGTGTCCCAAGTCACCAGGCTCGATCTAAAATGGACCGTTAAAATCGACGCCTCCACGTAGCAACAATAAGCTTTTCGTCAAAGGAGTATTTCACAGGTCGGTTTTTTTTCTTTTGAAATTACAAAGCCTAGCTCCGTTTCTGTAAAAAAATACGGCCAAAAAACTTTCCAGGGTCAACGGCGAGGGGCGACGCAGACGACCAAGTCGTGTGGCCGGGCGCGTTTGGTGCTCGTATTGATAGATAGCGCTACCTCGTTGTTCCGGCATGCTTTTAAAGAAATATGGAAAGTGCCCGCCTCGATCGTGGACTATTAATATGGACATAATATTTTTTGTAATGCAACTTTGGCTTAAAAATAAATGCGGGGAATGATAGCAAAACTGGAAATAACAAAAATAAAAGAAAAAGCGGTTGCATAAGGACGGCGTTAACGGCACTCTTGCTGCCGACGGATTTCGTCAGCGTGTCGTCTGCTTTCCTTTGCTGGTCGGTTGCATCCTCTGACGCTGCTCCAACGCTGCTCCCGAGAGAAAGAAAGAAAAACCAAACAGTGTGGCCCTTTATTATGTGCAATCTTTTAAGATACGGTGCATGGTTCTCCTGTCTTTGTTTCCTTCTTTAAAATTCTTCAGTTGCGAGTACAGCATTGCCTCTCGTGTTTGTTCTTCGTCGTAGTTCGTGTTGTCTGAGCTGTTTTCACAATCATGCCTACCTCTAGAATTCTATGTCGTCAATCATCATCCGACTCTCTATACCTATGTCGTCACAGAACGCTCGTGTTTGACAATGATGGGCATGCCCTTCTTTTCATATAGGCAATTGCAGGCATGGCGCTACAAGTGGTGCCCCATGCATGCAAGCGCGTGCAACGCGCGGGTGAACGTAGCTTTGGCAAGCTCGTAATCGCACGGGCGTGCCTGCTCGAGCAGAGACATGGCGGCGGCCAGTCGCCCCGCTTGCAATCGTCTATAGACCTTTTTAATGTTTACAAAGTCCCACTCCAGCATGCGATCAACACAGTCCAGCACGTGCCTGTTCGTCGCATCGGAAAGTGAGCAAAGCACGCGCCAGACACACAAATACTGAAGATGGCACCGGCCACACGCTCTTTTATGAAAAGGTGTAGAGGGGTCGCATTATCGAACTTGTGGCCCCACCGCCGGGTGTTTACTAACACAGCATAAAAAAGAAATCGAACCTTGCCTAGCACGGTCTGGGCACGAGCGCTTCGCTCTGACCAGTGCCTTGGCCGCACGAAGAGCG